TTTAACGGGTGTTGATTGCCTAAATGTGGAAGAGATAAGCATGCTGTGATAATAATTATAATCTACTGCACTTGAAAGTTGTTCTTGGGAAATGGTCCTCCTGAGGCAGTACAGAGTAATTGTTATGCTCTCAGTGAAGGACAAACATGGTCTGACACATCAGCATGGGGAATATTAGGGAGGACACTGTCAGCCCGGAAATGTCTGTAATAAAAGAACATTGCCTCAGAATGTCACGATTCATCATCTTAACAAGGACTATATTGCCTTCATCTTTGAATGTACTTTTCTCAGGCAAGTGCTCCTCATCTAAATGACGGAGGTAACGAATAAGTTCAATTTCAACTGTCTATTGGTGCGGGAGAAGATTTGCTGTTTATTTATTTCTGTGAACAACAGTGTCACTCAAAGCTGTAAATAAGCAAAGGGAAATGTGAGCTACCAGGACCTCTAAAGCTCACTTATTTCGCATTATATCTTGTTTGCTTAATCCATACAATAACTTTGCCAAGCGCAGCGACATCCTGGAGTCTTGTTGTCTCCTCCTCCTTATTTATTTATTTTTTTTTACCTTTTTTTACCTGGCTAGTTCTTTCCCAGTTTCCAGTCTTTATGCCAAACTCAGCTAAGATAACCATCTCCTGAAATAGCTTGATATAACAACTTGATATTTTGGGAAATATAAATTATATCACAATATTATTGAAATAAGCATATTTCCCAAAATATCAAACAGTTTCATCAAATAGTCCAGCTGTAATACAACATCTAAGAAACTAATAATTATGATAGCAAGAAGAGTAATTGCTGATATCTAAGTAATTGCAGAAAAAAATCTGGGAACTACAATATGATGATTTATCTTTATCTCCACTGTCACTATGAGGTACTGGCCTCTATCAGACACAGTTTGTGCTCATAAGTACACAGTGAGCTGTAATGTAAGGTTACGATAAGTGTGGCACACACTTTATCTGCATGAGGATGAGTATGTGCTGTTGTTGTGAGGGGCAGACCTCGGGGAGGCTGCTCTGACTGACGTGCAGTTCTCCACGGAGGCTGATTCACCATGCTGGGAGGTGTCAGGTTGCAGAGATTACTGAGCCGTGGGTGAAGCCCCCTGGCGTGACATTCATAAGTGTGCTTGCAAACACAGAGACAAACACATAGACACATTTCATTTTTGGTTGATTTTTTTTATTTTTTTATTTTTTTACAGCTACAGATTTTCTTTGTGTATTTTATTTTTATTTTTCTCTTTCTCTTTCTCTCTCTCTCTCTCTCTCTCTCAAACACACACACACATACAAGGGGTGGGCAAACAATTTTAGATCAAGATCATGAATTAAGACAACCACTGTCTACTTTTCAGGAGAATCGTAGAGATCGATGTATTTAATGTACCCTTACTTCTGTTTCCAAACATCAAATAATCTCATTGACTTGTGGATCAGAGCAATGTGAACAAACCAGTAGAGTGATGCCCCCAACTAGATAGCTATGCTGATTGGACAACTTACTCTGTGTGGCTCTTCCTTCACGAATTGATGTTGAGTACTAGAAAAGATTTACGTTTAGATTAAGTTATCTTTTGGCTTCTGTTTACAACTTCAAATTAAACTCTATTTAATCACCATTTTGAAACCTGTGTATTACTGCAAAATTGTGTTTTAATGGTTAGATGGAGAAGTCCATAGGATATTTCAAGTCTGGGTATAGTCTACTCAAAACTGAGAAAAAACAGTGCACTTTGTATCGTGTTTAATAGACCAAGATATTATTATTTGGCCAGATCGTCCACCCCTAAACCACACACTTAAGAATCAGCATGCCATGCAGACTCAGTGGCCACTCACAGTGGTCTTTGAATAAATAGAAAATGTATCTTATAAGGGCAAAGTCTCAATGGTAATCAGCCAAAGACCAAAATTCCTTTAGATTCCTATATAAAAGAAAAAGTAAGAAGCAAATGCACTGTGAGGATGCACAGACAGACTCAAAGACACACACAAACACACAAAGAGACAAACACACACTACATTCATTTTTACAAATGTACCACAGGCACCAATTTACAGGGATAGTGTCTCCAATATCACTTGGCCAATTACACAGATAATAAAGATTCTTAGTTCAAACAGCAACATAATGAGCTCCACACTACCGCAAACTAATACATTTCAGGTCTGGATAATCACTCTATCTGACCTTTATGCTCATCTGCTGGCAGTTATCATTAAAGTTCACAAATTAGTCTACATGCCATGGACTACTTTTTTGTCCTGTATTGTAAACAGTTGTCCTAATGTATGGAAAAGGTGAATGTAAAACTTAAAGCAGTGAGTGGCTGAAAATACATAAGAAATATCAAAAACAAGTACAGTTAAGTTAGGAGGCAAATCATTATCTTCAGTTCTTCATTTAGTGGCACTTAAACGTGTGTGAAGGTTTTTGTTAGATCTTTTGAACAGAACTACAAAATTTCTATTGTGAGGTTTGTTGAATTGCTTCCTCCTTCTATTGAATATCTCTGTTGAACAAAACTCTTCGAGGTAACTTCAATGACACTGAAGTATTGTATGTGTAGTAAACAGTGTATTTTTTCAGTATTAATGCAGTGTACATCCTTCCAGACTGCAGTTATAATAATTGGAGGTTACAAGCTGAGGAAGGTTGTCTGCCATATACTGCATTTATACTACAAAACCCTTTTACCACACATTATTTATGTGGCTTCTAAAACCAACTGACCTTTGTCACGGCAGACATCTTGGCATAGCATAGCAGGAAAAAACACAGGTGTAACTGATAACATTAAGTACAACTGCATTATATTTAGATGAGCTACTTCCAGGGCTTTGGTGTTGTGCATCGTGCATACTAGCTCATTGTCATAGCTTACTGGGAACCTTGATGGAGCTGAGCAATTGTTAATGAAATATGTTTCATTTTTGCTTTCCCTGCTATAACACAAGTCAAAATGCTGCCATGAAAAAGGCCTACTGGCTGCAACATTGACTGCATTTAGATTTTTCATATTAAAGTGGGTGAATACATGCACAAATAAGTATCCAGTATTTTTGACATTTTTGACAAGTTTTCTTGTTGTTGCTGTTAATCAGTTTCATCAATCAATCATTTAATCTTGTTTTATTCAATCTTATTATTCCATAAAACATAAACACTTTGATGGGTCCTGTAATGTAGACTGTGTTGTTACATTGAGATTTACAGTATTCTATACTGTACCAACATGACAGGGCAGAAGAAATGAAATTACATCAGGTTTTTTTGTACTTTAAGTTTACATGGAGTGTTGGAGTGTTAAGTTTACCGTACATTCTGTGTAGTATCAAAATGCAGACGATCAGTGGTGGAGGAAGTATTCAGATCATTTACTTTTAAGTACAAGTACTAAAACCACAGTGTAAAAGCTCTATGTAAAAGTCCTGCATGCAAAATGTCAGTAAGAAAAATTTAAAAGCAAAAGTATGTACTTAAAGTACCAAAAGTAAAGTACTCAATGCAGAAAAATGTTATATATTACATCATTAGATTAATATTACTCATGCATTTGTCCAACCATAAAGTCTAAATTCTAACTTGTTATGAACAACTTAAAATAATTAAAAGGAAAAACAGCAAATCCTCACTGAAGCAACTATAAAAATAGTTGCTAGTTAATTCTTGGTATGTTTTGTATGCAAAAATCTTAATTTGGAAAGTAACAATAAATTAGCTGAGTAAAAAGTGCAATATTTCTTTCTGAATTCTAGTGGAGTAGATGTAGAAAGTGTAATGAAAAGAAAGGCCCAACGTGTACCTAGTACAGTACTTGAGTAAGTGTAATTAGATATATTCCACCACTGCAGATAATTCACATTCAGTTCCTCACATCTGAGCTTTACAAAGTTATAGTGCTTGATTGTACCAGTAGCTCTAACTCAACATGAACCTTACCCTGAACGTACAGTATTCCCAAACCATCCAATAAAATGTCCTCACAAGGTCAAACTCACATAAACACAAAAGCACATAGCAGTCCTCCTAACTCAAACAGCAAAAAGAGAAAGAGGGAGAGAGAGAGACATAGATGGGGTGTAATCAGACTCATAAATCTTTGCCAGGTTTTACTCAAGGCTCATTCATTACTAATGATCTGTCCTGTTCATGTTATATTTATCAAAACTACAAAATGGGACACATCTTTTTCAAAACATTTTCTACAGACACATGAATTGCACCCACTGTGTTTTGTCACTTATAAGAGTTCTTTGCTATTAGTTTGATCCCTAAAATAAGCAATTAAAAGATCTCCTCCAGTGATTATTTTCTTTAAACCAAGCAATGTCATGCAATGTCATGCATATCTAATGATATATTTGTGATTGATGGGAAGAAATGATCACATTTCTGATAGCAGTTTGATTTTAGCAGTTTATCTTGTGATACCAGGTAACTTTTGTCAGTATTTCAGTGCCGCACAGTGCATGCTGCTAATCACTGAAACCAAAACAACACCAAACCCATGGAGACACATCTAAACACTGCAACACCCATTTTTAACTCTGCTGAGATATTGTGTCACTAAGAAACTTAATCTTAAATTCATCATGATCACTTCAGCCACACCTTCAAAGACACAGTCACCTAGTTCACGCTTGTGAACTAGGTGCAGGGGAGTAATAATAAGAAACTAAAAATGTGATTTCTTTAAAGCAGCAATTTGTCATCAGGCTGTACTTCAGCATTTTTGACACAGCACATTCTATTCCAGTTGAGTTGCTCTGCCATGTCTGTACCAGCTTTGATGACTAGAATACATGTTGCTCCGTTTTCATGTTAATTTTTCTCAAGTACAAACTATGATTTCCTCTTAAATCTTTCCCACAATATTCTTGCTAAACGTCCATGCATACAGAAACCTTTAAAAGTCTGGAAGTCCCATATGAACTCCTCTTCCTCCCCCTTGCTTCCGTTCCCCTCTCCCTTCTCCTCACCTGTTCAGCTGCCTCTGGGTCCAGGTGGGTGTCCAGAAGGGGAACAGTGAACTGTATCTTCCTGGGGCTCCCGGTTTCCATGGTGGCTTTGTCTGTCAAGGAGGAGGACAGGACGAAGACGAGGAGAAGGAAGAGGAGAAAGCAATGATCCGTGGAAGGAGAATCCGTACAAGTAAAGGGCTTAGTGAGGGTGGCTGAGAAAGATAATAAGTGGGCTCCAGCTTAGGAAAAACTAATTTGATGTTATTATATTTTCTGTCTATTAGCTGCTCTTTATGTTTCTCTTTTGACAGACTTTTCCCTGATAACCTACTTTTCTTGCACCTTATTTCTATTTTATCCTGTTTTTTTTTTCTTATCCTCAGCACCTGCTGGTGTCTCTGCTCCGGCTTCACTCTCCTTCCACTCTGTCTCTCCTGGCTTTCAGAGCTGAGACAAGGGCATTCTGGGCTAGGAACACCTCTACTCCACTCTCATTCGTTCCCTTTCACACAAGTCCCACCCTCTTGTAACATTTTTTCTGTCTGTATTGGATGTCTGAGATCTGCAGCAGACCCTGCACAGATGGGAGAGAGAGATTCTCTCTGTCATTCTCTCTTTCTCTCTCTCATAGGAAAGATGCACGTATTCACTGTATTTTTAAAATGACATTCCTTGCTTGCACATGCTTAAATATAACCTGCATTATATTTCAAACAGAAAGAGTCTCACTCAGAATGTGTGATATAGACTCTGACAATATTTAATACAATGGAACACAGTAATTATTAACATGTTTTTTGATGAATAACAGCTATTTTATCTAGATCAAATAAGAAGGTCACATGACCATTTTGAGCTCAAACAAAAGATAACTCTGTGGACTGATCATCTGAGCTTTGTTCTTATTTGACAAAGCTTGTCCTCGCTGCCGCCTGGCCAGCACAATCTTTATTGATTGCCTCTTAGCCTAAGTGTCCCTACATCACACGTCTACTGGGCCCTGATACCTGACACCAACCAAGAAGCATGACTGCTCCAATGTTCCAGATTTGCAGAACATTTTGAGGGGAATAAAAAAAACAGCTGGCAATCACATCCTATTCGTGTAAGATACACAGTTTACACAGTTTCTTCCAGACACTGACTGGTAGCTTTAGAAACTATTCTTTAGACCACTTTGCACTGTAAAAAATAAAACATTTAAGACAGTTTGCCTTTATTTGCTGGTTTACAGCTGAGACAGGAAATATGAGGAAAGACAAAGGGCAGGAGGGAGGGGGGCGTCCCCAACAACAAAGGTCCCCAGCTGGAAACGAACCAGGGGCACTCTGACCATATGGCAAATGTGTGTCTTTTAAGTCGAGTGGCAGTTTTTATTTAGCCTATAACTCCTCATTTTATTGGACTGGATGGGATGGGAAAGACCTACAGTAAGCCAGATAAAGAGAATATTTCCTTTCACTAGGTAAATCCTCTGACAGGGTGAACTCCCTTCCTATATCCTTTTTTCTCTTTTCAGCTTGGCCATTATTTTGCTGCACACAGACCATCTGCACACAAAAGATACTTTTTCTTTTTCTTTTAGCTGAGAGTGAAATCATAAGACTGATATTAAAAAGTCACCACAGTAATTACAGCTTTCCCCAAATTATGTCTTTGTGTTAATAAGAGACCACATGCTCCGTGTGAGTGTCTGTGAGAGAGCTGACTCCTGGTTTCAATAGTAAACCACCACCAGAATGCCAATTACCAACAAAAAACACATTTGACACATTTAACAAAACATAAATCACAAAGTAACTTTTGTGTTTCAAACAAGTTATTAGCAAATTTGAAAAACTTTCTTCACCGCCATGCATCATGGGAATTCTGAGGGACAGGGTGATATAGAGCAACCTAAGTCCATCCCTCTAAATTCCCATGATGCATTGCGTTGAAGAAAGTTTTGTTAAAATTTGCTAATAAGTCTCCTATTTGTTTGAAATACAGGTGTGATTTTATTATGTTTTTGTTAAACATGTCTGCTTAGAAAATAGTGGTTGTTGTTAGTAATTGTCATTCTTGTGGTGGTTTACTATTGAAACAAGGAGTGAAGTGCCTGTTTCATCTGATAAGAATGTTGTTAAAGAATAAAGTAAGCAGCCAAAGAGTTATGCTGGAAAAGACCCAGTATCATGTAGATGGTGATTGCATGTAGAAAGCATAACAGAATTTTGAAAGTAACTACTGCAAGTCAGTAAGTACTGAACATAATGTTAGCATTAAGTTGAAACAGAAAAAGCTGTGTAAATTCACAAGTCTTAATATATTAATTTGTGAAACAAATAAATATCTTGCGCGTTAAGTGGTACTCTGAAGACTGTCTCTTTACCACTACACTATTGGATCACACCACTTTTTGAAGTATTGGTAATTAGTAAAGGGCATTTGCCTTAAAAAAATTAAGACTTTCAATGGTCAATTCAGCAATTTGAGTTCCAGCTTGAGCATCTGAGCACAATAACATATAACACAAGTCTTCAGCACAATTAAGGGAAAGATAATCTAAGTTCAAGAACTGAAGTAGTTATGAGAAAAACAGTCAAATACCCACTCAAATCTGGCAGTATCCTAGTTATCAGTGCAGCCATTTTTTCAGATATAACAGGCACTTCACTCCTGGTTTCAGTAGTAAACCACCACAAGAATGACAATTACCAACAAAAAACACTATTTTCTAAGCAGACACATTTAACAAATACATAAACAACAAAGTATTTGTTTTGTATTTCAAACAAATAGGAGACTTATTAGCAAATTTTAACAAAACTTTCTTCACTGCCATGCATCATGGGAGTCTAGCTCCACCCCCGCTAGGTTGGAAGAGGAGTCCCATAGGAAACCATTCATTTTAAAATGCATAAAAAATATTAATATAAAATCAACCATTACAGATATCAGCTACAATAGCACCCATGTCATGAAGAAGATGTATAATTTGAAGTTGAAACCAAGTTTGTAGGACAAACAGTACAGGAGAAGATAGATGCCAACAAACAGCACAATAAATAATAATAAAGAGCTTATTGTGGTGATCTAGCGACCCATCCTTCCCACTTCCTAGTGTGTCCTGTTTTTTCTCCCTTCCCTGTGTGTCTGTTTGTCTGCTGCCTGTCTCTGGTCATGGGCGTGGCAACACACTGTCGGGCAGGTGTCTCCCAGCAAGAGTCCCTGGAGTTTCCCACACACCTGGAGTGCATCTACTCATCACTACTGCTGATTTATACCCGGCTTAGCGCTTCAGTTTTCACCAGATCGTCTGTTCACCCGAGTGGTAAACTACTCATCAGACCAACGTGCTGATTAGTGGGGTTTTTTTTTTTTGTCCTAATCGTTCATCACTCACATGGGTCCTCCTCCTTTCGTTCATTCAGCAGGCTGAGTTTCTGCCAGTGCCGGAGAATGAGAGGCAGGTCGGTTGTCAGGTAACATGTCAGGTGACATTATCTATTTTGTTATGTTACATTTAATAAAGCATTACTTTATTACAGCGCAGTGATGTTGTGCTATCGTTTTAACACAGCCCTGCCGTAACTTTAGTCCTGCTAGTGTTTACAGCTAACAGCTGACGTAGTCTCCTCTCCAAAACAAACGGACCTGGTCATTAACACATTAAAACACAGCCACTTAGCAACGTTAGCATTAGCCCTGTGGTGTGTTTACAGTTAACAGCTGATCCGGGTCCGCCAGAGAGCGCAACTTAACTTTTCCTTTATATTTCCCAACAGAGTCCTGCTGTTGTTTCACAGCTTTTGACTGGTGAACAACCTGGTTTGTTTCTCTGTCTGCAAAATCAGGACCTGATGTGGCCCATTCTGCGTCCAGACATGCCAAACTGCTGCCTTTAAATTATGTGTTTATTTCTTTGTTCCTTTCTCTGTGCTGGAATTCTTTTAAGAACTTGGAGGCTTTATCCAGATTATTATTAAATTGGTTGAATTTAAAGAAGAGTGCGTTTTATTCATCTAGTGTGTCAAGCTTATTACTTCAATATATTCCCCGCAAATCTGATATATAGATTTTACTCATGGACGTTAGGCTACTGTATGAATGACCACTTTAGATATAATGATAGTAATTATATATAGAGAGAGAGCTGGTCTGATAGTATAGTCAGGAAACAGATTTAGCAGGAGTAGTAGCGATATAATATTGACAACATATGTCTGTGGTTTTTACATGGTTTGAATTTGGTTGTGGCCCCATTGGGCTTTATGGAACGATGATAGAAAATGAACAAGAGGTGAATTTGTGCATTATACTTAGCAAGCCAGGCAGCCTTCCGTGTCCGAGAACTGCGCTGTTTTTTAATCGGCCACTAGAGGGCTGCAGCGCCACAATAACTAGCCTAGTTCAAATGAAGGAAATGACACAAAAAAAGATTAGTTCATTTTAATGAACGAAATTTGATGACTCCAGTCTGTCAAAAGAGTGACTTTTCCCATCTGTACTACATGGTGAGTGGTTGCTGCCTCCACATAGCCAATGGGTCAGCGTATTTGAACCAGAGGAGCTTGAAGGCGGTCTCAAAGGCAGCTCAGAGATTGGAGAAGAGTTGTTGTGCAGCTCCAATCGGGGATCTCTGACGTAGGAGGCGGGATCAGGCATAACTTCCCGGGAATCAGCAAATCCTCAGCCGGGAACCCCACAGCCCTATAACCATGTGAATCAAAACAGCAGCCACAGCGAAATATGAAGACGGCTGGCCTTGGTAGCTGTAACATCCTATACAAACTCTGATGCTTACAGTGACTGAAAGAAATACACTAGTAAAATTATACAGCGAGTGTTATCTCTTAACAGCATAGTGTTTATGTCTCTGGTTGAGTAAGCTTCAAAGAAAACAACCCACATCCACACATAGAGTCCCCCACAGTACTCCTGTTTATTACTAATAAAATACAGTATATTATTGTAAATAGTATATAAGTATATAGTATTATTTCATGTACTCCCTGTCAATGGTTCATATCATGCAGTGACAGTATGCCATCTTATTTTGAACCTAATCCACAATTGTTAATGTTTTTCCATGTTATTATATAAATATTAATCACTGAGCAAGTACGAGAGAGAGCCAACAATACAAGGCCTCGAACATACCTAAATACTGCTTTTTATCATCAAGCCAAAGCACCCACATACATGCATCTTCAATACTAACCGCCTTAACTTATCCCAGCAATCATCTTACGATAGATGATAGTGTGCTGCATAAACCTCTCCACTGTTCCCTTATTAAAGAATATATGTATTTACAAGTTAAATATGCGTAACTGCAAAGTGCATTCACTTATTGAACATGCTGTACAATGTACATATTATAAAAAATTCAGATTGTATTTTCCCATGTGTCTAAGACAGTAATTAGTTTCATTAGTTTATTT